ATTATATATAAATTAGGTACTGTATATATAATTATATATTAACTTAATTTATTGTAACTTTATTATAATTATATATATGCTTTCTGCCGCCTGGCAACACGCTACGGAGATTTTAGGCTAGTAAGTTGAGTTTATTATCGTCTGTACAGTATGTAAATTAGGTACCGTAAGTCTAATACAGCACTAATTTTATACATTTCTTGTGAAAGAAACATTTCTTATTCAACGGCCATATAAATTATTTCTATTAATGATATCTCCAAAGTTCAGCGAATTTTTCGCAGAAAAATAATTTATCAGAAAACGCGGCCGCGGTTTGCTGCGCTGCTCCGCGACGAAAACAAGGGTAAGCAACGACGTAGTCGAACGGTGCACACTCGGTAAGTAATCCTACAATTTTTTGTTTATAGCATAGTTTATACGGATTATTCCTAAAATATTATACGTGTTTTGGAAATGTTGAGTCGAATTAGTCTAGAATTGGTTAATTTTATAGAAAACTTTTCAAACAGCCTTAGTCCGTAAACTTCACACGTGTCGGGCTGCGATTGGCTCATGTATTTAATGATTCCTACAACGTAAAATTCGAATAATGTGGATCGTATCTAAGCGTTGTAGGGGGGTCTACTGTATAGTATACACATTATTGGCAGTAATGAAAGACAAGTTTTCATAAAAAAGGGAATTAATAATCCTCAAAATAGTATTCGTTGACGACATGATGGTCGAACGGTTAAGGCCCGGTCTATCGCTAGACCGGAATCGAATCCGGATGGGTCCATAAATATCAAGAATTTTTCGGTGGGTGACCTGTCCCGATATTCGGGTCGCCCACTGTGTGCCTGATCTAACCCATAATTGGTTTTCTAAGAAGGGCTTTTTTAAATTTTGATTTCGCAATAGTTAGTATATAACTTTCGCAAATTGTTAATGATTTCAAAATATAATTTTAATTTTTTACCGGTAATTAAAAGTTCTCATTTTATTGGAGTCCATTTCATCGCAAAAGAAAATATAGTTTTAATAATCTTTGTTATTTATTAAAATAGTAAACTGAACATTGAAATAAAATATAAAATTAAATTATGTTAATAAGATTGTCAATATAAAAATGATACAGATTTTTATATTAAAAAATTTAATTTCGTTAAAAGGAAAGAATCTTGGCTAGCGTTGCTAAAAGAAAAACTTTTTAAAATGCACTAACTAGTAACTTTTAATATAGTTAAAAACTTAAATAAATATTTTTTAATATTAATATACAAATATAATAATGTTTTTGACATTATAATTCGAGAAAACTAACCGTAACCTAATATGAAAAACCTTAAAATTGAAACTCTAAAGTAGATGACGCTTTGATTAAATAATTTCTGGTAATTTATAATTTCTGGATTATATTCAATTAATTAAAATAAATTAAATCATATTATAAAATAAAAAAATTGTAAATGCCAATGACAAATAAAATTGGCATAAGTCTGATTTCATTCGAGATATCTATCTTTATCTCCCCTCTCACTTGATTTATAATCTCCGAAATGTATTAGCATTAAGCCCTATGTATTTCTGCAAAATTTCAAAACTTTTAGTCCCGATATCTTGAGATATAATGCAAAATAAATGCAGTGACACTAGTGGCGTGGCGTATTGGGGGCGGCAGGGGCGGCCCGCCCCGGGCGACACTTTTTACGGATCGGCAAAATTTTACAATAAATAATAATATATTGTAAAAATTTGAACCATTTGATTTCATATTTTCGTCGCACCTACGATTCGTACCGATTGATATGAGCACGGAACAATGCGGACTGATGGCCGAGCGGTCAAGGTGACAGCCCACCGCTCGGGGGGACCCGGGCTCGAATCCGAACGGGTCGAAAAATCCCCAGGAAATTTTCGGGGGTAGTCCGTTCGGATATGTCGGGCCCCATCCCTCACCACCAGGCAGCCCCATTGTGGGCCTGGCCGAACCCACGTAATGGGCGTGCGAAAAGAGGCCCTCTTAGTGCCCACAGGGCGGAAAGAGTTAAAAAAAAAAGAAAAAAAAAGTACGGAATAGTGTTACCATCCGGACAGTCCGGGAATCGACTCGCCATCCGGGCGAACTATTAATTTTACTCAGTGGACATCGTGCGCAACCTGTTAACCTTTTTTTTTTTGCTTGTACGATTTATTCGTAATCATATACACCTCCAATATCCGGCCATCTAGATTACTTACTTTACTCCTACCCAATTCTAGTCGCTAACTGTAGCTGATTTAGAACCGGCCTGCACTGCACATTATTCTTTGCATTGCAAAATGACATACGCATGCATCAGGAACTTCTGTTCGAACAAACCTCATTTGCCGTCCGGGTCGGCGATTTTAAAAAGGTGGCAACACTAGCACGGAATTTTTCATTACTTATTCTGTGACGAAACTGAATTTTAGTCTTTAAAATTGAGATACCTAAATAAGGGGATGGCGAAATTTTCCTTTGCCCCGGGCGGCTGACACCCACGCTACGCCACTGAGCGACACTGACACATAGACACACGCCAATAGAATTTTGTAAGTTTTATTTTACATTTTTAACTCGTCCAGAAATGCAAAATAAAAATAAAAAATAATTGAGGGAAGTCAAAATTTGTCCGATCGCAATCTTTCCCTCAAAGGCCCTTTCCGTGTGCATGGCCTTGAATAAATGTCACTTTACAGCTGTGCACAAATTTGAAATAAAAAACATTGAGAGAATATTTTCAATATCTGTTATATTTTGTTGAGTCATTTTTTCATTTTTTTTATTTTTATTTTTACCCTGTGACATAGGGAATTTGTTCGTACTTATCACGGGTTCGGTTGAGTTTATAATAGAAGCGACCAGATTTTGAGACTGAATCCAACAATATCAGAATCATTTCTACATCAATCATCCATTAAAACTTCCGAGACAATGTGGACTCCACTGTGGATTTCCAGAGAAGCAGTTTGGTACCTTTTCGGTCTTTGTCATATGGCAAACTTTCTCATAATATTGAATAGATGATTTAGTCTTAAAAATAAATATTATGATATTTATATCAATCTTCCTATACAGTTTACCTGACATATCATTACAAAACATTGCTATTCTATTGTAAGTATATTAATAGAAATAAAAATAGAAACAATAGAAAAACAAACAAACAAAAAAAGATAACAGAGTTTTACAATAATATGATACAGTAATATAAATATTACAAAAAATAAATAAATACAAATAATAATTAAAAAGTTTATTCTGCGTTTGTTTTCGTAAAATAACAACCGAATGAATGGCTTTTAACATTTAAAAATTAAACTATTAATTTAATTCGTTCAATTTTTTCACTCCTAAAATGAACTGTACAATCAAGACAAGCATTGTCTTATCGCAGAACAGTTAATTTACAGCTGCTTTATAGCTATATCTTATCAAAATTGTGCTAGTTGATGCCGGTCTGTTTATTTATAAACTGAAAATTAGTTTTGCTGAAAATATTTTTGGACTTCAGTAGCATAACTACAATTTTGAGGCCTTTGCAAAAATTTTTTGAAATTCTCATCACTCTAAGAAAAACATAAACAGTAATTTTTCAATAGTATTTTTACTGTAAATTAAGTAAAAAACTTTATTTGATAATTATATACGCACTTTTTAAAATATTAATAATATAAGTTTTTAGTTTCCAAGTATTGTGGAGTCAGCCAGGTCTGTGGAGGTTCTTCGAAGTCTCTTTCTATTGCTTCCTAATATTCCCGCAGAGGACACAACTTTATTGCTTTGTTAATCGAGCTTGACAGAAAGATCTATTTCAAGAGGGCAGTATTACGATATGTAAGAATGTGATTAACGAAAAATGCTAGATGAGAGAGATGGCATAGAGACAAGACTATAATTGATTCAGACGACCCAATGTTAACATTAATAAAGAAGAGTTTATTCTACGTCTAAGCCATCCGAGAGCAGCAGAGAAAGTGAGAGTATACAAGCGTCTATATCAAAATTGTGAGTTATGTCACCCTTTTGACACCTGACCAAAGTTCACATACCCTTTTTTAGTAAGTGTAGGGTGGCATGAATTCCACGAAACTTGCTACAAAAAATAAGCTTCAAGTATTTTATGAGTTTTGGCGTCTATCGTGGTCCCCGCATCCATCGATCCAGATCCAGAATTTGTAGAATCACATCAAATCTCGTATTTATCATCGACACAGCTCTCAATGAATCTAATAAAGCCGAAGACGAATCTTTTCCTCAATGATATTAAATATATTTACTACATGTTAGAATAAATTGTCGCTGTAATTGCAGCTACTGTATTTATTTTAGGCCTATACAGTATATGTTTTATTATATATATTAAACATATACTGATGGTACATCTACTATAAACATATTAGATATAAAACTTTACCATTAATTTGGTATAATTAGACATTTTTGAATTTATTTTAACTATAGAATAGTTTCTAGTATAGAGGTTTCATCTTCCAGAGGTTGTATAGTAGCACTGATAGTAGTAGTAATAGTAGTATGGGGATTGAATCTGCATACTACTATCATTGCAATACGTTCTCTTAGCTCTTTATCAATTATTGTTTACAGAAAAAATTTTGGGACTTATATGTTTTTGGTCCAGTTTTGAATCTAAATAAATAAATTTTTTAATTGCATTTTCAGACAACAGTTACATATATACTCGATTAGCTTATAAAAACACTGTGGCGAATCCAACAAAGAATTACAAGGTCTTAACACTCCCCGTTGACACAAAAAGTTAAAATTTATTTGTTCGAACTTCAAAACAATGTTTTTAAAAACATTTACGATGACAAATTATCGGACCATCCGCAATACAATCGTCGTGCACGTGTTAATAAAAGATACTTATAATAATTCAAATATTTAAATTTTTGACTTAAACCCCCTTTGGGTTCTTCTGGATTCGTTACTATAAGCACATTAAAAACACCGTTTATTAAAATTATTTGGATTGTATAAATGTTTTAATTTATAAATCCTAAAAAATTTTTATTCCACAAAATAATAAAAAAATCAAATATTTACAGAACATATATAATATTGTATTTCACAAAATATAGAACATATTGAGAATGTTAATACAGTTAAATATTCCAGAGTATAAAACATTAACAAGTTAATCGAATATTTTAATAATATTCCAGAAAATATCACCGAAATTTCTTTTTAACTTTGACTTATTAAGTTTTTTAACAGGATTGGTGCCTGGTGAGACCCTTCCGAAATTTCCACGACTAGTAATTGCTCGAGAATTCCGATCAATCTGAGCGAAACAATTGTTATTATTATTATTTACAGTTTCTATCGCATCACGAACGACTATGCTGTGAAAACATCTGGCATTTTCACCTAATAAAGAGCAATGATTTAACAATAAGCAACATTTGCAATCTCGATTAGCCCAAGACTTTAACGCTTCAATTATAACGGCTCTGGAAGGAATCTGTAGAGTTGATCTGCAAATGATGTCTTTTATTACTTCAACTTCTAAGTTGATAAAGTCTTTACCTTTAATGATGTTTTCGGCATGAATATCGATGATATTCAAGCATTTATTAATGAGTTCGTTTTTAAAATTGTCTGTACTATGTGATTCGTTTGAAAATTTTAATTGGCGATATATGCACAACACGTTGTTTTCGTCTATATTCTGTAGAAGGAACGACAGACATCTTCTGACCACGTCCTGCATAATTAGCTTTTCCGCAACTTTCAGCATATTTAGAGCAACTGGTACAGACTGAATACGGAGTTCTTGGGTGTCCATGTACCTAGATTTATTAGAATTAAAAGTTAAAAATAGTTTAATTTGAGTTTTATATGAAAAAATATGCAGCAAATTTACAACCTGAATAAATTCTCGGCGGCATCAACGCTTATATCCGGAATCTGGGAAATGTCAACATTTTTTCCATTTGCTAATTTTAAATCGCAATCCAAATCTTCGGTTAACTTTTTCACAGTTTCAAGTTTAGATTTTTCGAATTTTGTTGATTCTCTCTCAGTTGATGTTACAGGTAAATTAGTGGAAGACATTTCTCCATTCTGGGCAGCTTTTTTATCGTTGTTTAGTTTTAATTCCTTTCGTGCCTTGATTTGAATCCTTAATAACATCTCCGTCTATAAAATGTAGATTAAATTTTAAAAAAATAATAAAGATTTATAAATTGTTCAAATATTGAGTCTAAATATTGCAACTTAAGAGATAACCACAGCTGATCTAAGAAATGTTTAAGTAAACTTAAACAAACAGATAATTAAATTTATCAATCTATTTAGATTTCGAAATTCGTTGAAATAAAACCTGCAATAGAATTTGTGAGAAGTGGCAAAATGCGGTGAAGCATAAAAGGCCCGACCTAATTGAAACATTTAATTCATTCGATCTTTATCCCATTCATTCTTTAGTTTATTAGCGGTTATTATTTTGAACGATAAGAAGTATTCATGAATCTAAAATAGTAATAGATAAGAATTCGAAAACAACTAAATTCTATGAATCTCTTATATCGTCTTTAGACTTATTAAGTAATGTCTTTCAATTAATGCTCTATTAAATAAATTCAATTAGGTTTAATTGCTTAATATCTCGAAAAAAAATCTCCCTATTGGCGACAATTACTTAAAATTTAAGTTTTGCACGAAGTTTAGATAATGATTATATAATAACGAACTAAAATAAAAGGCATTAATTATGCAATTTCCGACCAGCAAAATTTAGTTATGATAATTTGTTCCGTTAAATTTCAAAATTTAGTAAATTTATCTAAAAATAACTCATATAACTTTATATAAGTCCTTAAATGGTGTTTTCTTCATTTAACAAAAACTTATTTATCTGTAAATATTTTCTACGTTCATAGAAGTATAAATTCAACGCGATGAATCAACGACGTTAAATTTTTTAATGATAAAACTAAATTCGTTTTCGAAGGAGATAAACTGTAGTAAATTATATCGTAATGGGTGAAATAGTCAAACAGTTCTATTTATATTAATAAAAAAATTTACCTGTTGTGTGTCGTTTTCTGTAGAAGATCTGGAAGGAATAACGAACTTTTTCGAGAAGCGAACAATGGTACCATTTTCCTCCATCTCGTTTTCCGTCCGCATTATCGCTACAACAGTCCCAGAATAAACAGAAAATATTCAATTCTACTTTATTTAAGGCGCCAGAAACTACTTAATGGTTTGATAGGGTTGCGAGTACTCAACTAACAACCAATCGCATACAAGTAGGTTATTCTCGTTTTTTTAATCGAAGATGACCTTCGCCGGACGAAGGATAACACTTCCGCAAATTCAAATTGGTCGTTAAAAATATTGTTAAAAAATTTGAATGAGCCCTTTGTAGACATTATTTGTAAATTTAAGTATTATAAATACAATATCATTTTTACATTTTTTATTTTTAGAAGTGAAATGTGATTAGCGAAAGTGTATTGAAATTTAACATCAATCTGTAAATAAGTTTAACGAATATAAATCGGCACAGGCTATATATATATATATATATTTCATTTAGGAAACTTCTTAGCGTTTAAATTAAAATATATTTTTAATAATTAATAAATTAAATCTTTCTCAATAATGAGAGTATTGTATAAAATGTCAAAGTATATTTTGTAGTAGGATGCATTTAATTAATAATATTTATGGTGTGAAAATGATATAACTCCTACCGGTTGTCGAGAGACAGATGTTTTATAACGGATTATAAAAAATAAAAAAAGAAAGGAAAAACCGGACGTTAAAAGTTTTTGTTTCGTTTATGCTTTGTTTAGTCAGTTAACTGATAGCAGAACCTGATAAGAACTTGTTTTAAAAACTGTCGATGATAATATTTTCGTGTGAGATATCTTTTCTTGTAACGGCTTTTGTCAGTCTTTACATATTCAAATCGAGTGTTTTCTTATTTATACTTAATTTATATTGCATTTAATTGCAATTAAACAAAAATTGTATTCTTTATTATGAAATTTTCTCTAATTATCTCGTACGAGTGTCTATTATCTGCAATTTGGAGACAGTAATTGATCAAAATGCTGTTATTAATTGACGGACGTAATTATCGTCTGATTTTAATGATAATTGACTTTATGTTCCATTCCCGTACATATTGTTTTAAAGCATTTCGATAAAATCATCCATCAAAAGTAAGCGTAAATTATGAAACGATTAATAATTCACGAGATAAAAAACACGATATATTAATTAAATCAAATGCTGTTTTTGTATATATTCTTATCATTCAAACGGTTAAGAGATGAAGGAAGTTATGAGTCATTTCTACACTTATGAAACATGTTAAATCTTGACGAATATAATTTTTCTATATTTTTAAATTTAATAGTTTTGAAGTTGTGATAAAGGTATGGCTGAAATAAAAGTTTTAAACTTGCAAGAAGAAAACAAATTCGTTGTGTATAATGAATTTCGGAATAGTTTATTTTGTAGTGAATTAATTTAATATAACATAATTTGTTACAAATTTATATATGTAGCCTATAGACTAAAGTAATAAGATAAAAGTTTATATCTAGAGTTTCGTACACTAATTGTAAATTTAAAAAAAAAAAAAGCTTCTTTTAATAGGTCAACACCTGTATATTGTTTCCGCTGTACGTTTATTAATTAATGAAGCCCTCTTCGCTTTACTACTATAGAATAAATCATATTTTGCAGTTTAAAAATATAATTTTTAAAGGAAATTTTCAAAAAACTTCAACTGTATCGAGATTAACACGTGTAAATTACAAAAATATTCGTTACATCAAAGTACAGGCGTACGACAGAGAGACTAAATCTGTTTTGCAAGGTCAAGGATAGTTTTGAAAATACGAGTTCTAATATATATTTATTTTACATAAGAAAACGTGTAAAAGTGTTTGAAAATGAAAGAAATTAGAATATCTAAGAAATATTTAATTACGCTTTTCTAAGCGGAGATAGATAGGGCAAAACTCACCTCAAAATTAAGCTTTTTGTCATTTTACAATAATTAATAATATAAAAAGATTTTAAAATATAATGTCATAACACCCGGGAAAGGTAACTCGTTACTGGATTGTTGTCCATCTCGCAATTAAAAAGCTCAAAGCTAGAAGCAATCTAAACTAAAGCAACCAAAATTATATTTTTCATCTGATTAATTATTTTTATATAACGCGTTTCATAGTTTCTGGGATTGCGTTATACACGTGTAAGCTCTCTCTCTTTCACTACAAAAACCTTTTATCAAAATTAAAATCTCTTAAACACTGCGATACGGGAAAGTCTCGTTAATTCGAACTCGGATAGTTCGAAATTCCGTTAGTTCGTAACTGTACTTTTGTCCCGGCCGGGATATAGAAATTTACACGTTAAGGAATTCGATTAGTTCGAAATTCGAAGTGTTCCTCTGTCCGTGCTCTGTGATATGGGTATGTTAATTTGTTCGTTTAGATCAGTGTTTTTTAACTTTTTTTTTTAATTTCACCTATGATTAAATTTCCTCGGAAAAATCACGTGATTTAAAGTTGTGTTTGTAAGCATTCTATCACCATATTACTTGACACTTCACCTAATTCTTTTTGTCTATGTTTTATGTGAAGTAAATAAAAGATCATTGTTCTTCCTCTAATTAGCAGAAGGTTAAACAATTGTTACTTAAATTAATAATTTTCATTTACATAAGAAAAGCAATTAGGCTAACATTAAGTCTTAATTTGCATTTAAAAGTGGCGTGATAACTGCCTTTAGAAACCTGCCCAATATTCTGCTATTTCTAAGTTAAATTAATTTGAACTAAATATGAACAATTATACATACACTTTTGATTTACAGAGAATTTCATTTTACATGAAATAACCCGGTGTTTTGTGTACATAATTTTGCTTGTGAATAAATATTCTTTACTACATTACATAGACGTTTATTTATTATAACAATGAAAAACTCGGATAATCAATTTAAAGATGTTTTAATTTTGACATGTACAATTATTGTTCTTGGGCTTCTTTCGAAAATAATTTATTTAATCATCTTCAAAACTTGGTGGCACACTTACGATCCTCTCGAAGCACACCGGGTTGAAAATCATTGGTTCAGGATCGAAGTGCCTCCATACTATAAGACAACAATAGACCAAGAACAGCTCTAATCTTTGCTTTTGCTTTTACAGTAACACATTTTCGGGTGTCACCTTGCCTACGGCCAAACCTTCTTTTCCTCTTATATAAAATACGGCTGGTTTCGGGATTGCAAGATTGAGCTACGAATAGCAGATTGAGATATTTGTAGAGCTCTGGGCTTGTGACTTACTACATTTTGGACCACTTTAAAAGTAACTTGGACTACGTTTTGAGGAATTCTGCTTTACTTCTTATTGAGGCGGAGCGTTAGCGAAGCCTCTTCTATGTGGCGTACAGAATTGTGTTCTTTCTCAAAATCTGTTCGATCTATTTTAATTAAACTTTGCCGTTTACCATTAATTGCGACGAGGAATCTAAAAATGTAACGAGGGTTCATTTAAATGTAAAAAATCGGAGTCTACGACTTTGTTTTCGCTATACAAAGGTGTTAAGTTGACAATGGCCGTCCTCTCTCATGCGACAGTGTGTGCCTAACGGTAGGGACAAAAATAAAAACAGCATTGCGTGCGCCTAGCGAATATATGTACGAAAACAAACAAAGCACAAGATTTGTTCTTTGATCGCCTTTCCTTAGTGGCAAGCGTAAGGATCGCCTCTTCTGTGCCTGACAAGTGCAGGGGTCGTTTCTTTCTTTCCGGGTCGCCTCAATTCTATCGTGATACGACAAGCCGCGCGATGCCCTATTAAAACTTATTTAACGAAATTAGCGTTCTGTATGCGTAAGCGTATTTCGTTTGCTTAATAAATTACATCACTTACGTGGCATTTGGCATATTGTATAGAAATATGTAAATCTCGGATAATTCGAAGTGACGATTATTTCGTCCCTTCCATTTCCAACTAACGAGGATTTCCTGTGTAAAGAAAATATCATTAATGTATTAATCTTTTACAATGGAATTAAACAAAGTATAGTAATAAAAAGCACAGAAAAAATTAAATAGAAAAATGAATAAATCGAGTCCGATTTGTTTAAAAATACAGTATACATTCTGCTAGAAATCATTTTGTTAATAATATAGTTTTATTTAAGAGTATAGTAAATGCTCGATATAAAGGACCACCACGGTATCGAAGAAATTGGTCCATTATAACGAAAGTCCGTTTATTGCGATTACTCGTTAATAGGGACTCGTCCATTATAGCGAAAAGTTCATTACTTTGCAGGCTGATNGAAAGATAAATGCTCGATTCTTTATATCTCTTTATTTAAATATTGTAGTTCTTTAACTAAAGCACTATTTTCGGCTGTAACTGGAATTAAAGGATATATTATGACGTCCGTGTTTCGCTCGAGCGAAAAGCGTTTCTAAACTATGATGCAGCGACGTGTAGCGATAGCTGCTCGTGACGTCATATACGCTGCACTCTCGCTGCATAAAGAAACGCGGCCTATCTGAACGTCACGAGGCTAGCGGCATCTCGTGGTAAAAACCAGAACTACGGCTACGGAATCGTTCTGTAATTAGACTGGCGTCTAATTACAGAAGTGACGCAGTAGCGATGTTCAACGTGTTTTTCATTGTTGTCAATAACGTTTTTCGTTTGCAAAACGTTTACAACAATGGAGGACACAATGACTAATTTGTAACGTTTTTCAGTGATTTGTATTGCCATAGTGCCGTCTATTGACAGTTTTTGTACTATTTTTTCAATAAACTTCGAGCACACGGTTTGAATTTCCTGTTCAAACTTCACTCTATTTATTTGGTGTCTTAGAACTCGCTCTAGAGGCCTCTAAGTAGTTCAACTTAATTTTAACAACCCTGTATTTTGAAGTAATCTTCACAGAGATTACGTAGAATTTAATGATAATTGACTTTGTTACATTCGCGTACATAAATAATTCACGAGATAAAAAAACACGATTTAATAATTAAATCAAATGCTATTTTTGTGTATATATTCTTATCATTCAAACGGTTAAGAGATGAAAGAAGTTGTGAATCATTTCTACACTTATGTTAAATCTTAACATGTTAAATCTTAACGAAAATAATTTTTCTATATTTTTAAATTTAATAGTTTTGAAGTTGTGATAAAGGAATGGCTGAAATAAAAGTTTTAAACTTTCAAGAAGAAAACAAATTCGTTGTGTGTAATGAATTTCGGAATAG